AGTATTTGTAATGCTTGAGGTAGAATTCGTTGGTGACGTGTATAATGTAATAGATGATTTAGATGTAAAAGTTTTTGGATATTCTATTTATTTTATATGTGGAAATGTTGATATTTGTAAAGGGTAAATACTTTTCGCGATCATGTAATTTCATATATGTTCTTTTTACCGGGTTTAAAGATTGAGAAAATTGTCATGTATTTTCGTGAAATTTTTTTAATTTATGAGAAAAAAGCAGTGTACATGGATTATATTGAAGAGTGTGCGCAATGCCATTTTTGTGCAATTCTGGGATTTTTTTTAAGTAAAAATAAGTCGACGTGTACATGGTTTAGTGATATTTTAATGAAATGATAGTTATTTTGTGAATTTATGCTTGTAGGAATTTGGTATACGTTTAAGTTGAAAAAACGTGCATGGAAATAATTTAAATATTTGATACTAGTATTTGTAATGCTTGCGGTATGAATTCGTTGGTGACGTGTAGAATGTAATAGATGATTTAGAGGTAAAAGTTTTGGATATTTTATTATTTTATATGTGGAAATGTTCATATTTGTAAAGGGTAAATCTTTTTCGCGATCAGGTAATTTCATATATGTTCTTTTTACCGGGTTTAAAGATTGAGAAAATTGTCATGTATTTTTCGTGAAAATTTTTCTGATTTATGAGAAAAAAGCATGTACATGGATATAGTGAAGAGTGTGCGCAATGCCATTTTTGTGCAATTCTGGGATGTTTTTTTTAAGTAAAAAATAAGTCGGCGTGTACATGGTTTATGTGTATGTGTTATTTTGAAAAAATGCGTAAGGAGAATGGTATTGTGCAGTTTTTCCTAATTTTGCAGTGAATATTTTTCATGATTAAGCAGTTTTGTTTGATAAAATTTCTAGCATAAGTGTAATTCGGCTAGTAGATTGTTGGAAGAAGTGTTCAGGAGATAAAAAGAAAAGAAACATGTCTTTACTTCGTGAAGACAAAATGGCGGCGGGGAAAAAAATAGAGGGTTGCTGTAGGAGAGTTGGTCGCCAAATTTTCGCCAAAAAATCGCCAAGTTACCATAATGTAAAGATCAACCTTTTCTTTTGCCGAACTTCAATTCAACAACTTCCACCATTTATTTTTCTCCCCTATCTTCTGAGACACAGGAGCGAACCAACAAACCAACGAGCTCCAGTGAGATTTTTCAACGTCAACAGGGTTGCCATACAACACGCAATCGCGCCAAAAACCAGGGCAGAACACATATAGCCACATTTGGTGAAATTAGGGCGTATATCAGATTTGTACTCTATATTTTTATTTTTCAAGCCAAGAAATTACTTACCTAATTAGAAATAAAATTTATTTTGATTTAAATAGAAATGTATACCTATGAATGCATCAATGATTATGTGGACCCTGCCAGCGGATGGCACCACTATACAGACTAAGCTTAGATGAAAGACTTCTGAGTGAAGCTAAGGGTTTAACACAAAGGGCTTTGAAGAAGAAATCATGAAATCACTGCACAAAATAAGTTTGGATTTAACAAAATATCGTGGCCAAGGAGGTAACATCCTAGTATACAGTATGCCTTAGTGCGGTTTTGAAAACTGTAGCCAACATCAAAATGACTCGTTAACTGCTCATCATAATGTTGGCAAAAGTAGCCAAATCCCACATGTGTATTGTATACTAGAATTAAACCACCAAGGATACATTGGTGCAGCAGTAATGAGAGGGACGTACAAAATTGTGTGGAAAACATGCAATACGAAAAAAACTACATGCTTGATCTGAACATTGTGTAGCCCATAATCTAAATATAATTTTAAAAGATGCTATTGAAAGAAACATAGAAATCTGCCAGTTTTTCGAAACAATCCAAACGTATACAGTCAAAAGTCTTTAATTCGGACTCGTCGGGACTTCGGCGATTCCGGATTATCGATTTTTCCGGATTATAGATCATCAGTTTAAATCTGGTAAGATGGCATGCAGAAATTATAAAATTAAAAATATGAAACCGTAATTTATAAAATAATGAGCAATTATGATCCAAAGGGTATCCAAATTTACCAAAAAAGAAGCCTAATATTTATTTGTTTACTTTATTAAACATTTCTTTTAACGCGCGGATGCGTAAAGCATACCGGTTGATCTTTACATTATGGTAACTAGGCGTTTTTTTGGCGAAAATTTGGCGACCAACTCTCCTACAGCAACCGTCTATTTTTTTTTTTCCCGCCGCCATTTTGTCTTCACGAAGTAAAGACATGTTTCTTTTCTTTTTCTCTACTGAACACTTCTTCCAACAATCTACTAGCCGAATTACACTTATGCTAGAAATTTTATCTAACAAAACTGCTTAATCATGACAAATATTCACTGCAAAATTGGGAAAAAGTGCACAATACCATACTCCTTACGCGTTTTTCAAAATAACGCATACACATAAACCATGTACACGCCGACTTATTTTTACTTAAAAAAACATCCCAGAATTGCACAAAAAATGGCATTGCTCACACTCTTCACTATATCCATGTACACTGCTTTTTTCTCATAAATTAGAAAAATTTCACGAAAATACATGACAATTTTCTCAATCTTTAAACCCAGTAAAAAGAACATATATGAAACTATCTGATCGCGAAAAAGTATTTACCCTTTCCAAATATGAACATTTCCACATATAAAATAAATAAAATGTCCAAAAACTTTTACCTCTAAATCATCTATTACATTATACACGTCACCAACGAATTCATACCGCAAGCATTACAAATACTTAGTATCAAATATTTAAATTATTTCCATGCACGTTTAATTCAACTTAAACGTATACCAAATTCCTACAAACATAAAATTCACAAAATAACTATCATTTAATTAAAATATCACTAAACCATGTACACGTCGACTTATTTTTACTTAAAAAAAATCCCAGAATTGCACAAAAATAGCATTGCGCACACTCTTCACTATATCCATGTACACTGCTTTTTTCTCATAAATTAGAAACATTTCACGAAAATACATGACAATTTTCTCAATCTTTAAACCCGGTAAAAAGAACATATATGAAATTACCTGATCGCGAAAAAGTATTTACCCTTTCCAAATATGAACATTTCCACATATAAAATAAATAAAATATCCAAAAACTTTTACCTCTAAATCATCTATTACATTATACACGTCATCAACGAATTCATACCGCAAGCATTACAAATACTTAGTATCAAATATTTAAATTATTTCCATGCACGTTTACTTCAACTGAAACGTATACCAAATTCCTACAAACATAAAATTCACAAAATAACTATCATTTAATTTAAAATATAATTAAATTCAAAAACACTACTTAAAATATAAATGAGCACATACATTAAATTAATAAAAATTACCTTACAATCCTAATTACTTTGAACTAAATCATTGCTAATAATTTTCCCAATAATACCAAATTCCTTTACTTCCACCTTACATTTAGAACAATGCATAAAAATAATATCCTCAAATAATTAAAAATACTAACTTACCTCATCTTCTTCAGAATCTTGATTACGTGTCCGATAAACTTTTCTTTAGTTACGGCCATGGGATCCAAAAATTTACGAACACTGTTTCACACAACACAGAATAAACCAAATACAAAATTTCCAGATTTTTTCCCGATTTCCCCCCTTTTCCGATTAAAGAACCGTAATTCGTCCATTAATATCACATGACATATCCCATGATCTCTCATTTCCCTCACACAAAATAATGCGTAATCTGAACTGAGTACTGCTCACATTATTACCAAAGTCCCAGGTAGTAACCTTTATCGCCTCCAAAATGTCGCCAAACTACCGGTTACCATATTGTAAAGATCAACCAGCATACCTTACTCATAGCCGAAATTAGAAAATTGCAACCAGAAAACTATGTGATTTGTATTCGTGATATTTATAATGACGAGAAATTTTATTTAAATCATATCAAAGACGGAGTACATCGAAATTAAATACTACATTTAGTAAGGAATTATAAGCCGACTAAAATAAAAACATCTGCCCTGAAGATAACGATAGTGTTGACAGATCAACTTCCAGTTCATTGCGCGCCGCGACGTGCCCCCCCCAATACGTTCACAGAATAATTTGCTAGCAATAATACATCTTAATTACATTGCATTACGTCTGTATTACGCCAAACTGTTTTGGATATCCTCTCCTATTTGATTTAAAAGGATTAAATCAAAATAAGAAACAACATATAACACAACATTACTGAAAAATTTTTCATTCGATTAAATTGATTCATATAGTTACCTTAATTGTAAAGAAAATTATCAACCTTAACTAGAAATAAAGGTGTTCAAATTAGGAGGAACAATAAAGAGAATGGTCTGCCCAGATACCTCCAAATCTATAATTATAGACTTGCCATATGTTTATTATCTGATTAGTTCCAATACCCCCTCTGATTATGAAAGTAATAGCAATTGTGTTCCTACCAGTTTTCCAACATGTTCATCTTCTAAAATTATTTATAGTTAACATAAAATAATCAAAACAATTATTAAAATATGAATTTTCATTAATTATATGACACAAAAATATCATTCTAAAACATTAAATGTTACACTACTCTCAGAACATCACATTCCTTATAAATACTGTTGTTTTGTTCGTTTTCAGAAATATTTGCAATTTAATGAAGCTCTTATCTGAATCAGAATAACATTTATCAGGCAAAAGATATACATTTTTTTCACAAATGTACTCAAATATAAAGCCTTTAAATATGAGTAGATCATGACATTCTATAAAAATATCAAATTCAAAATATTTTTTAACTACAGACTGCTAGAACACAATGTGATGGTTTAATTCTATGATATCTTAACTATATGCATGTTAAAATTACAGATATACAGCAACACAATTTTATTAGATATTCAATTCACAAGATTATCTTAAGACATATTTTCATAGGAATTACATATATATATATATAAAATTTACCTTTCCCATTTGTTGACTGCACAGGTTTTGGTGGAATTCTAACATCAACTTTCTTTTTTGTATGGTCATAAAATGTACCAGAGCTTGAAAATGTCATCAGGCTATTTTTACTAGTTTGACTTACAGACAATGAGTTTGTTGCACCTACTTGAATTTCTGATTGTGATTTTGCTAAAGTATTTTCGCTCTGACTAGGCCGATTACTTCGCCCACCACCGATGCCCACACTACCTGATGCACCAGCAATTTTTTCTCTGTTAGGGGCATTATAAGAACCAATTGAATGTCTACTCTCATTGGTCACTTTAGGTCGTATTTCAACTATTTTAGGTGTCTCTTCATTAGGTTCTTCCTCTCCTGTTGCTGGAGTATGTAATTGTTCAGCGGTGACAGATTTCGGTACAATAATCTCAGTAGGGCCTATTGGTTCTTCAACAGATCCAGCAGTAGATGGTACAGCTGCCATAATAAACAGTTCTTATTTCTGTACTTCCTAATAACACATTGTTAGCCTATAAAAAAAAATAAAAAAAAACTTTTTTTGAAAACAGACATATGCATATTAAAAAGAGCTTTTTTAAAAAGAAGTTCAAGCATAATAAAAAAGCTTCTATATATATTTTTTTCCTTTTCAAAAAAGAGGTAAAATGATGCTAAAATGAAACAATGTACATAGAATTTTACTTTGTAATAGTGTTATTCAGTTGATTTCATTTAGGAAACTTCTAAATATTTACTAAACTTCATGTTTCAAAAGTGTATTGAAAACAAACAAAATAGTTACTTTACCCAGATATTTACCAATTTGACAAACAACCTATACGACGTAGAGACACTTTCCACGGACGTTCTGCTAACAACGAAACGCAAAGAAATGTTTCGTTTTGCGTTAACTGTGTCTTTAAGCCCTTAAGGTGAGAAATAACACACCACAGATCGTATTTTATTCTCGAGTGTCAAGATGTAGAAACATCTTTTTACTCGACTTCTGATAAGGATCGGGTAGGAGGAGAAAGAGTAGGGTGAAAGGAGTGAGGGAGGCAGATGAAAGAGAGTGAGGTCTGCACTAGCGGCGGCGAAAAAAGGAGGGGATGTCAAGTTCAGTGACGTTATAAGATGTAGCCGCGGGTGGTAAACCGCAGAGTCAGTTTAGCGTGAATGAGTCAATTAAGGTTGTAATTCTTAGGCTGCTATCACACGTCGGTTTGTTTCGAAAGAACAACTGTTTGGAACAATTTTTCTGCTTTGTCACCACAGCCAATCACCACAGCTCGCTTTGGGGTTAACACAGGGGAAACTTACCACAGGAGCCTTAGGGAAACTGATTCTCCATTACAAACAAGCTAACAGCGTTTCGGCGCTGATAGCTGATTGGTTGAAAACGAACAACTTGCAACTTTTTTCGAAAGGAAGGAAAAAGTCACACGTCTTTCTTTCAATAGTAAAACAGGCAGAAAAATTGTCCGAAACAGTTGTTCATGTGAAACAAACGCCGTGTAATATGGGTAGGATGTCACATGGTACCGATGTTTTTCTCTGCGACGCGGGGAGTGTCTGAGAGTGCTAATAAGGCTATTACTGTGGGTTTGTACTGAATAAAAGAAGTTGACCGCTAATCGTTTAATATACACTTGAATAAGTTCGATTCGAAGGTCTCTGTGAATATAGATGTTTGGAATATACCAAGGAGCATTGAGAATTTCTTGTAGAATTTGTAATTGTTTAATATTGGTTTTAGCTGCATGTTCCCAGATCGGTGCTGCATAAAGGAGGGCTGGGCAAAGTATGGAGCGATATAGAATTAATTTGTTTGTAGTAGATAAGTTGCTTTTTCTACCAAGAAGAGGTCGCATAGTAGCTGTGGCAATTTTAAATTTTTGTACTATGGACCGGAAGCGTATTTCCAAACCCTACCCCACTTTTCAAATTTTTGACGTCACGAAAATATCGACTAGTTTCACCTGGGCAAGACGACCTACCCCACTTTTTGGGTATTTCGGCGCGCTTTCAAAAGAATTGTGCTTGAATAGTGTGTTTAGGTGCTTAATTGTGAGATTTTCCCATACTTTAAATTATTATGAGCGGAAATTTACGCAAAATCTTTAGTGAACGGTTATTGTTTATCCTCGTAGTGCATTTGAGGAAAGAGGAGAATAATTCACTGCTGATGTACATTAACAGTATGAAAAGTATGAGGTGATAGTCGGCAGTAAATGTGATGCATTTATCGCAAAATTCGTCGACGCCAGTTAAACAAACGAGATTTGTTTGAAAAACTTATCACATTGAAGCCACTATACAAAAAATTGTAGTGTGCAAATACAGCAATTTTTAATAAAAAAAACACTAGCAGAAACTTCAGATCAAGGAATATGAAAGAATTGCAGTGTTCTATGTGAACTAAATAATAATAAGAAGAATTTCAATAAAGTTCGTCTATAAAGATATGTGAGGAACTTCATAATTATCAAAATACTTCATTGCTTTGGTGAAAAACTGAAATTTACTAAATTACCTAACTTTATAACATTAAATATCTTAGTAACTATAGTATTATGCTCTGTTTTATGAAAGCTTAACTACTTTATTCATTTGTTATACATTAAAATATTTTCTGATTTATTTACTAAATGTGTAATCAATTATCAGGATTACTAAATGTGTAATCAATTATCAGGATTACTAAATGTGTTAAGAATTTCCATACATGCTTGCACAGTGTGACTGCATGTTTGTGTAATGGACTTTGATTTTCATAAACGAAAAAGAAATACAATTCCAAATAAGTACTTTTTTGTTTTCCAGTTCCTGTGTTTAGCTGTAAAAGTAAATTCACTTTAAGTACTCTGTGCACTTTTGATGGTGTAAATACTAAAATGTGTGTACAGTAAAAAAACTAAAAAAAAAAAAAAAGTCTGGAAAGCTCTTGAAATTTTAAATAGTCGAGCATATAAAAAATGAAATACTGTAGAAAAGTAAGTGAATGAAGAATAAACTACTAGTCTAAAATCAGAAAAACAGTTCATCTTATTTGTATCAACTGGACTATCAAAAGCCAATATTTAATATTATACAAGATTTTGAAAAAAAATGTATGCTGCTGATCTTTGGAATATGATAACGGGTGATTTTGCAATGGTTGTTATAGTAGATTAAGACTGCAAGTTGAGACTTTAAATATGAAGAATAGTAATCTGAAAATATGAAGTAGTAATTTTACATCCAACAATCTCTGCCAAAGAAGTCCATATTTTAAGTAATTAAAATATATATTTTAACCACTTGTTATTAATTTCATAAAGTAAATTCTATAATTTAAATTTTATTTACTTTCATCTATTTAATGTTTGCCATTATAAATTTCGTACTACTTTTATAAGATTTCATAGTTGCTAATTATACTTTTTTTCCTTTACTTAATTAAACTTTCCTTACTTTTTATTTAGTTATTTTATAGTACATACATATATATTGTATGTAAGAAAGGGATTTATGTGCAATAGATATACAGTAAAAAATCATTAACACAAAACTGAGGGGACAGAAATACTTTTTTGTAGAATATTGAAAAAAAAAAAAAAAAAAAAAAAAACATATATTCATAACAAAATTAAGTTTATTAGAGTACATTTTATTTGCAGAGATATGTATGTATTTAATAAAAATCAATGAAACGAAAAAACATCCTCAAGAACTTAAATTTAATACAAAATTTTCAAGCTTTTTGAAAAACAAAATATTGAGTTTTGGGAAAATAATCTGATATTTTTCTTTGCATTGTCTTTTTTAGCATCAATTAAGCACCTCTCTTTCATTTCACACCCCGCTCAATTCTCGCCTGCGATGCCGATGTTTTCTGTATTTTGTTCATTTTCAGAAATGATATCTTTTCGAATTAAGCAATTTTTTTTTCGTGTTAAGAGAAACAAAATGCATGGAAATGCATAGTAGTTTGCCGGGACCGTTGCATTATTTCGTGTTAAGCAATATTTCGTCTTAAGCGTTTTCACATTAAACGTATTCCACTGTATACAGAGGTGTTTGGACTATGTATATACAAATAATTTTTTAAAAAGAAAATTTATAATCCTTCTAAAAATTTTCGAGCATTATGCTGCTAAAAATTGATTTGTGAATATATAAAGAAAGAAATTTAGAAGCAATTTTTCACAAAGAATAACAATTCAAATTGAAATTAACTTGATAAAATCCTGTAAATGTAGAATATCAAATATTTTTTTTAGACTAGTACAATATTTTTAATGAAAGATTTTTAATGATTTTACTTCCCCCCCCCCATTTCCTTGCTACTGATGCTGTTTGATAAGAGGTTCTAGTAAGTTTTGTGTAACATTATTTTGAACTTTCAAAGATTTCCACTGTAGGATTTTATTTTTTTTATACTTTAAGGACATGTTTTCATTTTTTAAGATTCTTTTTAGATTATAAAAATATTTTTAAATCGGAAGATGTTTTTAATGATTTTCCTTCGCTTTGAGGAGGACCAGAATTTTCGGGTGAACTATTAAGATAAAAAATATACTGAAATGCTTCATCAGCTGATTCTGGATACAGAAAAGCAAGGATTTTGTTTTAGAAGGGAAAATGTAATTAAATTTGACATACCTCCTCTTGACGATATTACAGTCAAAAGTCGTTAATTCGGACACCCATAATTCGGAATGATCTATAATACGGACCTCAAAACTAAAAACTTTCTGCGCGTGCGCGCGTTGACACATGCGCATAAGCGTTTACGCGTGCGCGTAAGACCTTTACGACTGCGCAATGAGTGGTGCAAGTGCAGAATACGTTTCGCGTGAACGTTTTATGTATAATGGACGTATAAGCTAAATATTATCTATTTCAGTTAATTTTGATGATTGCGTTGTCCTTAATTTTCGAATTGGATCCGGCTTATTATTTTTTGCAGACTGTAAGAGCAATTTTATAAAGTAAGCTTAACTTTCGATTTACCAAATAGAATTTCCGATATATATTTTTGTTAATATGTAAAGGATCTAAAGGCGAAAGTATGTTTGAATCCGAATCTGTTTATCAATTTCACGCTGCTCGCGGGGGTAACGCCGCGGCGGGCGCGTAATGAATTGGAAGTTGATCTGTCAGCACTATCCTTATCTTCAGGGCAGATGTTTTATTTTATTTGGCTTATAATTCCTTATCAAATGTAGTATTTCATCTCGATGTGCTCCATCTTTTATATGATTTAAAACAAGTTCCTCGTCATTCTAATTCACTTCCGATAGCGAAGAAAGTGACACAGAGGTTATTGAAAACGAAAAAAATTTCGATGACAAATTAGTCAGTATTCTCGACCGGCAATTATCGGACTTGAACAGCGGAACTTTGAAACTGAAGAAGAAATTATGTCTGTTTATAGAATTAAAGAGAAAGTATTATCACATGAAACGAAGCAAAACTTAAACAACTTACATTGAAAGAAATGTTTAATAAAGTAAACAAATAAATATTAAGCTTTTTCTTTTTGCAAATTTTGATACCCTTTAGATCATAATTGTTCTTTATTTCATAAATTACGGTTTCATATTTTTAATTTTAGAATATCTGCATGCCATTTTACGAGATTTAAACTGATGATCTATAATTCGGAAAAATCGATAATCCGGAATCGCCGAAGTCCCGACGAGTTCGGATTAACGACTTTTGACTGTATTATGTTGGAGTTGGTTGGATTCCTCGTTTTTCTTGTTTTTTTATACTATTTTTTTTTCCTTTTTATAATTCAGCTGAGAAACCAAACAGGCAAAAAATGGGTTGGCTTCAGGAAACTGATTGGTCTAAACCAAAGCTTCTTAAACTTTTTTCCAGTCGTGACCCTTTTTCATTACAG